TAATATTTAAAAAGGTTTCATTTCGAATAGTGGTTGTCTTCTGGTCGTTTCCTAAATAATAAACTATTCCAAAATGGTAGGAAATAAAAAATATTCTTTACCCAGACGTCTGTACCTAATGACCGGTCAATAATATGTTGCAAAAAATAAATCTATTTTAAAGTGGCTGGGAAATTATTCCAGAAAATATCTGTAGGCTAAAGTGAACAATAAACATTTTTAACATATTAACGTAATAAACGAACCTACAACTACATTATTGTTTAGTTGAATATCCCGGAGTGTTTTTGTATTCAAGTAAATTGTCAATATTGTGATGACGACACTTTAAAAGTTTAATACAAATTACAGAACAATTTTAAACTGTGCGTGCTGCTTATTTTATTATTTTAGGAAAATGTGGAACGTATTTTCAACGAATTAAAAATCAGCACTATACCATATATTAATTAAAACAATATTATCATTATTTTTTTAACTTGATGAAATATATAAAAAAACACTCGACTGTTGGTCTTGGACTAATATAATTTCAACAAGCGATCAACTAATCGGAATTTAATTTGTAATGTAAATAAAATGTTCAGAAATTATGAACTATTAAATTTAAAATACTTTATTCGAAATTTACTATTAGATATTTAAATGTATTTATTTATCAGACGACATTTGTCTATCTGTATAAAAATCAATTTTGTCATATAATACTTTTAAAAAAATATTTCACCGCTCACAATTTTCAATTCAATAACTTCTGTCTAGGTGTAAAAATACGATTTTATGGCACAAATTGTATTACAGATTTCTTATCATTGTATTTTATTAACAACATCCGTGGAAAAGAGTATTTTTCAGTTTAGACAAAGAAAGATATAAAATTTTATTCATTGCAACAAAACCAACTTTAACGACAATTTTCAATACAATATATTTCATTTGACTTTTTTTTTGGCACATATAAACACTTATTTTGTTTCAACACTTATTTTTGCATAATATGTATTTCAATCTTTCATGGGACCTTTCCGACCATTCATTGTCAATATATTATTATATTGGCTGAATGTCGTGAAAAAAAAATGGTTGAAATAGTCCCGATTTTTCAATACTGCTGACTTTTCGTCTTATAATGTAGTCTTTTTTAATATAAAATACTATAAACATTTTGAAAACATATTAGTTGGTGCTTCGTGTCTAATACACATCAATTGTCATCTTCGGGCCAATTTAAAATTTGTTCACAAATGGTTCAGCTAATATTAACTGAAGGAAAGTATTGCAGACCACATTATCTTCTGTTAAAAGATCTTTTATAGATTCTAATGTCATCTCCAAAATTATCGACTGTAAATGTATGTATTACAATTCATTTTTGGACAGACTCTTAAGACTTGAATGCAAATAGTTTTAATTTTTTGCAATCACAATAAGATTTACCTTTAGTCTATTAGAAAATAGTCTATATACAAGCAATTCGTACATCAATTTACTTGTATGGTTTTAATTCTTACCAAAATTTGATGACTTAATTCAGTAGAAAAAATTTGAATTGTTATTTTTAGTTATATTTATGTTTATTAAACACGCATATATTTAAATAATGTTTACCTACAGTTTATCAAATAACTAATTCCAGATTAATGGTTTTGAAATTTATTCTACAATTACTTGGAGAAATGAAGTCAACTGGAACTTAATCGAATTCATTACTTATATAGTTCCCATTGACATTGAGCTGATGTGTGGATATTTATTTTAATCAAAATGTAATTTACGTAATACTCAAATACGCTATTAATTTTCCTAGTGAAGGTATTAAGGATAAAAAAGTGTAAATAAGTCCACGGAAACTTAAAAAACATTATTTCAATTGGTTATCGACTTAACAAAATTATTGATGAATATATTTTTCTATTTTTTTGAATAATAGTACTTCAATAAATTGTCTTCGGATAAGATTTGTCAAAAACAAGTATTGGTTATAAATTATAATAATGGACCTTACTACCTTAGTTAGTTTATTATAATCTTGAATAATTTATCATCAGATATTAATTGTTCGTCAACCTTTTTTTATTTTCTCAATAATTTTATCTAAATTTACAGGAAGATATTTATAAAAATATTTTTTATTTCTAATTGGTAGTGACTTTTATACTAGAAGATGGTAAAATAACTTTTACTATTATGTAGGTGATTTTTAGATAAGATTTTATTTTGGCCATATTTAAAATTTTAGAACACTGAGTTTAAATCATATTTAATAAAGTACTTACTTACTTATATTATTATTTATTAATTGTTATAAGTTAAATGTAAATTTACAGTTCATAATAATTAAAATAACTTTATACCTACTTGTTTATTTATTTTATATAATCAACCTAAACTCGAGAAAAACTACGACGATAACTGAACATTTTAAATAAATATTTTTATTTTCATTTTTAAGTTATATATTTAATATTATGTGGTTAGGTACTAAAGTGAATATAACCCAATTTATAAACATACGTAACCAATTTTAATATTTTTGATTTACTTCAAAAAATATAAAGTAAAAGCTATTTAAGGTCAAATACACATAAAAATCAATGGATATAAATATTAAACACACTCTAGTAGACACATCATTTGTTTCAGGAAGTTATACTCAGATACCTATGAAATCCCTTTTAGTTGTTGTGTCTGGTTTATATTTTATTTTAGCATACCCTTTTAGGTCTTCACGGTTTGTCGTTCGAAAATGTACTGAATAGGTGTGCACAATAGGTGTACAGTGTACACTGTGTATTATGATTTATAAACTATAATATATACCCTTCGTTTTGAATATGATTTGTAATTATATTTAACAGTATCTTATTCAATTCAATATGTATCAAAAATAAGCACAATATACTTAATGCGCCTTCTGAAGCTTACATGTTTGCGTATGTACCTATTTTATGTTACTGTACATACAGTAACAACACGCTGTAACAAATAGTTTTGTTATAATGCACACAACATGTGTAGAAGCACTTGATCAACTAAGTAATAGCTTAAATGAACATCAAAGTAACATTTTCAAAAACACCTTACATAATGTGTGTACATTTAATTAATAAAATCAGTTTGTGTTTTGTGTCTGAAATTAATTTTTATATAGTTATTGTACGTAAATGTACTCAACATCACTATAATAGTAGACTGTAGACATTTTACATTTATTTCAAAAAACACCCAAAAAATAATAATAAAAATATTAAGTACACTGTTTATTTTCAAAAAAATGGTTATTGATAAATTATCATTGAAAGAAAATAATAAAACTTTAGGAATGAAACATAACTAATTTGATCGCGTTTGATTTGTGAATTGATTTTTATGTAAATTATTGGTTAATTAATTAATTTTAGTTTGAGGTTCCGGAATATTTATCTGTTAGGTTCGTATTATCATTATAAAACATGAATGATTGTAAATTATGGGCATTACAAATTTTACTTAAATCAATCAATTTTTTAATTTTTCGTAGAATAATACATAATAGTATATATATATATATATATATTATAATATTGTGTTATTATGTGTGTACTGACCAAGCGAAGTGTTTTATTTGTTATACTTTATGTATAATAACAATCATTACTCGTATTCTTAACCTCAATATTCATTTAATCATACTATCTATTGCTAAGTTTATTTTTGTTCTGTGTATATTATATATTACCTATGTATGAATATAAATAGCCAAACTCGATTTTTTTTTTTTAAGTTACAATTATGTGATTGTGCTTGGACCTTTTTATATGCATCATTGAAATTAAACCGTCGTTATATTATGGAGTAGTTAAAGAATTATGGTTTTATTCATGATAATTGTACAAACCTTGTAGATACATATAACGGAATATAGAGCGTGAACAAAATATATATTTGAAAACCTTTGACAAAGTGAAGAACTATTGGAAATAATAAATGTATTTTAAATAGTTTTATATAATATTATATTGATTGAATTTTAAATTTATTAAATGTACTCGTTGTATGAGTATCTAGTACATTATTAAAACTCATGTTTACATAAATAGAAAAAAAAATGGATTGAATGATAATATTATAAAGTAAAACAATAAAATAAACACTAAACTTCTCTGTTATGGACCCATGTGAAGTATAGGTAATACATTTGATGATTGAACCGTAAATTTGTAATCCCATTAAAATATTATTGTATAATATGTATATTTGTCTCTAAGACCCCTTGAAATATTTAATTTACCACTTAATAAATTATTATTTGAAATCATAACGTGGAAATTATCATGGAATACACACATAAATAGTAGTACACTAATAAACCATTCAAAAGTATGCTTCCTTTTTACGCTTATGTAGGTGATTATATTTATATAATTTAGGTAAACTATATTTTTATCTATGTATACATATATAACAAATATACATATGCATTATGCAGTCTAAATTTGCACTAATTACAACCCGTTGTTTCGATATTGTCTAATTTAATGTAAATAATAAAAACACTAAAAATAACACGATGTTTTATACATTTAAATATCAACGTTTCAATTGGTGTTAATCAATAAACAATACTTCGTATCGGCACATATTATGGCAACAGAAAATCAATATCTTTATCTATAAATATCTAATTATTTCAACAAAAAAAAAAAATTTTAAATTAACCAAAAGTTATTCAATTTTTATAAATCAAAGTTCATTCTTCGAACTTTTAAGCATCAACAATCAAATCTTATTATTATTAAATACAGAATATATTTCTTACAAATGTCCAATGTTCTATAATATATAATATAAAACAGACTTTTGTTACGCTTTGATTTGATTTTGGAGAGCTTTTGTATGATTTTTTTATCAGTTCAAAAACAAAATATTTTCATGAGAGATATTTCCTTTGAATTTCTGTTCTGTTGAAAAATAATATTGTTTAAGTGTAAATAAATATTTAAGAACGTTTTTTTTTCCAGCATATGTGTTACAGTAGTCGTATTGAACGTTCATTTCCGATCACCTCAGACGCACAAAATGGCACCTTGGGTGAAAAGAGTGTTCATCCATATACTGCCAAGACTTTTAGTCATGCGGAGACCTCAGTACCAGTTTGAACCAAACAAGTAAATAGGCACAATATGAATACTTATATAATATTAAGTCTGCTATTTTATATTTAAAAAAAATTGTTCATGACTAACAATTAATTTATTTTCACTTTTAAATTAATATAAGAGTTCATTTCCCAAAAATTATGTTACTACAATAAATAAGGGATAACCTACAAGACCAATAGCATGTTTTGAATTAATTACATATTTTTATAAAGTCAACCAGCTTTAATAATGGTATTACAAAAAATCACTTTTATTTAAACTCATATTTAGCAATATTTAAGATAGTACATTTTTTTCAAACAAAAAATTTTACAGTTAACCATTGTACAGCTGTCAATAAATATAGTTGTTGTTTTATGGTGGGCATAATTTAGACGATAATTATATTTAACTATCGAGATAATAAAGTATACTAAATTATAAATTGTTTGTTGTTTTGTGCTTTATTGGAGTTTATTAGCTGAATAGAGTTTAAACAATCTAAAGAAAGTGATTGATATTAGTACACTGTTTTATATTTTTTTTTTCAAAATATCAACCATAGTCTATTGGTAGCCCGAAGTAAATCTTATACTGAAGCTAAGGACAGCTTAAATACTTCTAATTGTAGTAAAATATTTACTGTCGACAGGATAAATTAAAACAAAATTTGTATCATAGTTTATTTTCATTCTTACTCTTTCAAGTTTTGAAAATCATGAAGAATTTATTATTTCCTCAAAATGTACAATCAAATTAAAAATACATTTGTATTTGTACTTATTAATAATAACACAGGTCTTACAAAGTGTAATGTCATATGTTTGCAGTTTACTCGCATTGTAATATTATTTTATTACAAGTGTCTTAAAATGTTTGATAATCATCTAAACATACATGACGATAGTACACACTACATATTATAGTGCACACATTAAATTTATTTTTATGGTTGTTTTTATAGCATATTTTATTCATATGTATTTCAGTAAAGATAAGGTATCATTAAATAATAATAATAATAATAATAATAATGTGTTTAGAAAAAATAAACATTGTGAATTATAAATTATAATTATTTGATTGATCATTTTTAATCATTCAGATTTGGTTCCATTCACTACAATAACATAAATCTTATAGTTATACCTACACGATGATTTTATTATTACTATCATTTACTATTTCAAACATTTTATTTAAAATTAAATAAAATATTTTTTAATTTTAACAAAGTCTATAATATCTAGAAACCTACTGTACAGTCTTCACATAATATATTGTTCATCGCTAATGCACTCAAATTAATTGCATTTTAGTTTTTTTATTGTAGAAAATATATGCATTTAATATATATTCATAAAACTATAACCTATTAAATCTAAGATTTCGTGATCATAATTTTATAAAAATGATAAATTTTTGTACAACAACTAATAGTTAGATTAATCAGTAATTACAATATATTACCATCCGACGCCGAGTATATATTATATTATTATTGACATAAGGGTAATATTATTGTGTAGAACAACATTTCTAAATTATCTTTTATCAACGTTCACTCTTTGGGCAAAATATTATATTTTTTTTATAAAACGTGGTCAGTATCTGTAGGTATCTTATAAAACAATCGAATGGTAAAAATAATTTAAAAAAACAGTTATATTAAATTGTCAAATCACCTAAACACAATGTTCATAATTCAACGTCAACAGAAGAATATTTCAATATTTTTATGTTAATATGATAAGTTATTATTTTTTAAATCTAAAATACAATTTACTAAATCGGTCATACTCATATAAAACAATATTCTGGTTAAATGGATGTTACAATAAATGTTTCAATAAGTATTATATTATCACACATAAGTAGATGAAAATAAAACTAATTTCTTAACACGTTGTTCTCGACACGCGTCTTAAACACTGTTTAATGATTTTGCGATTACGAAATGTGTTGTGAATAGATTCAACGCCGGTTCGATAATGCTGAAGGGCAGAGACATACACCCGTGTTTCTTCCAGGCCGGCTGCGGCTACGACAGCACAGAGCCCGGAAGAGATAAAGGTCGTCGACAAACAGACGACAGCAGCGTGTCGAAAGGCACCAGAGAAACTTCCAAAGAAGACTTATCCAGGTCAGAAGTGCTGTACAATAATATATAATAATATATACTATCTACGTTGCACCCCTATACGTAAACGTCCAACTTGATGCGTGAAACATTCCCTATATATTTTGAACATTTCGTTAAATATGCACATTTAATTATTTCGTAAAATATGGGTTTCGGTGTTTCTTCATAAAGAAATTCCTTACTATTGCACATCGAGTGAACAAACACGACATGATGAAAAACGTACAACATAATATTTAATATCATTAAAAAAAAAAGCGTAGATATAGTTAAAACGATGTCAACGCACGCATTTTGTACATCGAAACTTAATGTCAAAAAATCGTTTTAATACAAAATGAGTACGATTTAACATAAAATTGTATATTATTTAAAATGAAAGACAAGAGATTTATTTAAGGCTTTGCATATTGTTTCTGCGAAGTATCCAATTTTTAAAAATGCATTTCTTTAATATGTTTATACACAAAAAAGCAATATTATCTATATTTACAATTATCTACTGTCTGGGAAGTTAAAACTAAAAACTAATATGTCAAGTGCTAAACTGCTAATAGTCTCAGATAGTACCTACTATTTATCTCCAATTTTTTGAATAATTGTTTTTGTCTTATACTCCAGAATGATATTTAATTGATCTGAATGAGAATTTTTTTATCTATTTCTTCTAAAAAATTTCATAAATACACAACAACCAAGAATAGTACAGACATTGGACCTCTAGTAATATTACTTATAATCAAAGTTCAAAAAAAATAATTGTGTTATTTATAAAGCATTAATTGTACTGGTATAAGATGAGCATACGGTAAATTTAAGCTGACAATAATTTCATATGCAGAAAATAAAACTTGTACTACATTAAGCCATTTTATATGAAATACTAAATAATACATAACAGTTAGAGTTAGGTGTAATTTATTAGGCCCTTATCACAAGTGTTCTAGAAGACTAGAACTTTAACAGCTTATAAATTGGGAGTCATTTGTCGTAGTCCAGTTCTGGATATCACCAGTTCATAAATTGTGCAGGTCGATAGCTCGTTTCGTGAAATGGGCCAAAAGTTCCCGTCTCATGAATTTGGCAATTCCACGTCTGGGATGTAACATATATGTTTGTATATATGTATAGATAATGTGCTCTAATATTTCAATCTCTATTAATTTTTAATATTACCAAAAACATTTTCACATCAAAACTTAAACATCCCACATAATTCTGAAGCACGATGAAGCGAAATATAATATTGTTTTATCACTTATATGAGGGAGTAATATCCCTGAGGAGATAGCCATTCGAGTATTTGAGTTATTCCGTATCTTGTTTTGTGTGTCCGAAGTATTTTACGAATGTTTGAATTTTTTTAGAACTGTTCCTATAAGTCATAACTACGAGTTTTTGGAATAGAAATTGCACCACTCTCCAAAATAATTAACCGCATTTGTTTTTCTTTCTACTTATCAACAGCAAAATTACATTTTTGTTTGCAATTCATCTTAAATTATTCACAAACAATATTCATACTTTGAGTGCTTTACGCTCATCTATACCTGATAATTTAATTATAACAATACATTATGATGATAATAATAATGGCTGCGTTCGATATAACTATATTAATATATATAGCTAAATAAGCTATTTAAATTATTTAAAAGCAAAATATTTTTATTATACTTTGGTGTTATTTAATAATATAAACAAAATTACATAAATATGGGGATGTTTCATATTATATAATTTTGATTACCGGTACGTTAAAGCGTGGAACTTTATTGCTTTTTGAAAAATAAAAGCCCGAGAAACTTTTATTATGTGTATTTTCTATACGAAATGTCTGTTGACTCTTAATTCACCGTCGACGATTCTCTTTGTAGCTATTTTGAAACTAGAATACTTTTTAATACCTTTATGACGTATCTCATAAGTAGAACCGTAAAACAATTTATTTTGTTGGTTTTAGTTGCTCCTATTATAAGTCGTTATCTTAATACATTGCATTAATATCTTATTCTGTTCTTAATTAACCAAATAAATTTGTAATAAAAATATTTCTTTCATTATTTTATTGATAAACTCCAGTGACGGCGAAGGGGGTAGCTGTCAGATACACGGGGTAGCGCAGAGTCTGATTTCCGACGAGATATCAGTCACCGAAATGACAACTGACTGCAGCAAGAGCTCGATCCTGCTCAGGAGCCCCGGATTTCTACATTCGTCCTGTCCTCCGGCCATGCACAAGTCGTGTTTCTGCATCCGATTCATCGCGGAACACACGAAAATAACGGACGACGCGACCAAAGTATGTATTTATAAACATTGATAAACCACAACCCCAATCATCATATTGTATATTAAAGATGTGTCGTAAAATATAATTTAAACTGTTCCCCGTTCGCAGACAATCTATACGACAATTCGCGTTGTTTTACATGATTTCTAGAAAAGCAAAGATGTTTTTTTTATATGGTTTTCTTTTTTTGAGTTGGATGAAAGCTCCAAAGGGTCTTAGTAGCGCATTCATTCGTGAAAAATCTTGTCTAGACGGTATTTTGAAGAGGTAGTTTTTCAATTACATCGAGCGTTTGACTGTGCATAAGGCAAAACGACCAAAAAACGTCGAAGAAGACGTATAATCATTCGATCGTATTATGTGGTCTTAACAAAATCGATACAAATATAATGATTTTGCATTGTAATTTTGAAAATAATGGGCACTTATTGCATGCAAATATATACATTTTATATTCCCGTTATAATACAGAATCGTTTTTCAAGTGTATTACAATAATAAATAATATATTACCCACGCTAGCGAATCGAGACGAGTGATCATATAAATGTTTGCTGTATGAAATAATAGAGGTTGTAGGTGTTCAATCTTTTCAAAACTGTTTTCTTATATTTGTGTGCCCAATAATAACGCATTTACTACTCTCAGACTTCAGACTTTTTCGACTTTCAAATTATAGCTCGCAGTTCTATTTTTGCAACAGAAAATAGCTTGTACTCAAATCTCTCTTCCATTGCACATTCGTGGGTTAGCACATTAACCCGGCCGTTATTCAAAGAGCGTTTCAAATTCAACTACAGACATTGACAATTTTTTATTCATTCATTCCCTTCTATTAGTAAAAAAAAATATATAGTATTACTAAAGTTATGTCTTTTAAAATTGATTTTTAAGTTTGACCTCTCTAATGCACAAACTAGATCCAATTTCCTATCAGAAACCATAATCAAAATTGAAAATCAAAGTATTATTTCGACTACTTATTATTTATTCATACAAAATAAAACATATTGTAAAAATCAAACCAAATTTAAACTATAAAATATTTTCATTTTTTTTTAAATTTGCTTATTGAGGTTCCAATGATTAGGAAACTTTAAATAGGACATTGATATGATCAGACATGGGAATAGGTTTTAATAAAATACCGGTCATTCTAACAGTTTTTTTTTTACTAATTTTCACTCGAATTTAAAAATTGGATTATCAAACATAACATGTTGTGTATTGCTCTGAAGAGTACCCCAGTCAAAACGCGTTGTTACACTATATAGTCGTACCCACAATACCCATGTATGATAAGTTTATATTGTTGGGAATGAGACCGAAAACAAAATATCGCGCTCCACTCACCTTAGCTCTCCCGGACCAACTTCAAAGTCGACTAGCGTGTTTCTGAACGTTCGACGGCGGTAATCCTGCAACGCATTATAATATATTATTATACGACCTATAAAACTTACTGTATTATCACGTATACGACTATGACGCAACTCTTTTCCGGCTTACTTGGCCGACCTCGAACGAAAACTTTGCGCCTTATAGGTACAATCAATCAATCAAACAATCAATCTAAACTCTGATTTGCCGAGTATATGTAGACAACAATATTATTTCCGTACGATTATCCTCTGCGTTCTTTGTGCAGGTGAAAGAAGATTGGAAGTACGTCGCGATGGTCTTGGACAGACTATTCTTGTGGATATTCACACTGGCCGTGTTCGCTGGCACGGCGGGCATCATCCTACAAGCGCCCACGCTTTACGACGACCGGATACCGATAGACAAAAAATTCAGCGAATACCAAACGTAAGTATGAAAGTCATAACTCATAACAACAATATTATTATAATGTGTATCGTTAAATTAAATATGTCTTTATACAACGTGCCGACCTTCAACAGTGGCGTATCTGAAGCTCAGCCAAGTGATGGGGATGGTGGTGGGGAGGGGTGATAAACAAAGTAGCTCCTGAAACCCACGGCTTCTCTTACGACATGGCATTAATCAAATTTTTTTAATTTTATTCATTTTATTTTTTTTCAACAGTAATAGGTAATCTATTAAATCTGTATTCTATCTGACGAAAATTCAACAATAATGCAATTTTAAATATATGTATTGAAAGAAATACGACCCAGGGTGGGGAAATCACGCATGAGACTTATTATACGCCACTGGATGTCAATCATAATTATTGCAGGTGTTTGTCGGAAAGCAACCTTTATACGAGTAATACTAATGAAATACGCATCATAATATTATTATGATTATCTATGAATTGTTATTGCCGTATTATTGTGTTATGACTACATTTAAAGAAAATGATAATATAATATTATAATTTATAATACACATGTACAGTTGCTTAGGACGATATTGTTTCTGTATAAAAACCCATAAAATATATAGGATCATATAAGTACAAACTTGTATACTTTGCAAACTTCAAAATAATATAACATGAGTAAAGAAATAGGACGGGTAGTATTTTTGCTCATTCTTAAAATGTATATTGTGGTGCATATTTTATATAGCTTTTAAATATATTTTTTATTCAAATTTCACGGTGAGCCAATTTTAAGGAATGGTTTTTATTAGCACTTTATAAATTATTTGATATTAAATAAAATTCTTTAACAAGTTAAAATATTATGACATTCTGAACAATTTTGATATCAAGCTAGTTTTTCTCATGGTAATATTTTTATATGTTAAATGATAGTACCTACTCGTTTTAATAATATTATTTTTTTGTGGGTAGTCAAGTTACATTTCAATAATTTAGTTTAAAAAAAATCCATAGTTAAAATCTATTACACGTACCTTATGATAGTATCCGAATTTGTTTAATGTTGTGTTAAAACCGATAGCTGATAAGTGTGATTTGACAAAAATAAATAAAAAAATTATTTTCGTTATATTTAAAATAAATCAATATAAAAAAATAAATTATACAGACACAATATTAGTCCACCACACTGGTGTTTATAATATTATAATAGAAACAAACTTATGAATTGGACAAAATTTGCGTGGACAAAAGGAGATAAGTCAAAACCAATAATTTTCAGTAAACGAAAACGTTGAATTCTGTATTTAATGTTTTATTTTGTTTTTCACATATGATTTAAGATAAGAAAAAATATTTTAATGATGAAAACTACGTTTCACATGATGATTTGTTTTCTGCAAGCTATAAACAAAATCAAAAAACAGCTAAATCGACTTATTCCCTTTTACTCATGCAATAACCAATTGATCAGAATGTTTAAAAAGTTTAATAATATTACAGGTCACCTAGCATAAGGAAGAAACTGAAGATAGGCCGTTATTGAAATAAAGTACCTACAATTAAAATTATTATAAAACGATACCTAGCGTTTTTCTGGATTGCAATGTTTTTTTAAATCTCACTTACACACAATCACATGCCTACACAAGCCTTCGGGCTGTATGATATATGTCATTTTAATCGAACTTTCACATTTTATCCGAATTATAACAATACACTTATCGCACAAAATATAAAGCATTATATACATATAGTTTCGTGAATCGCCAAGCATGAACATCCCTCCCCCATTGTTTAATTTAATATTGCATCGATTCAAATACTGATTTTTGGAATTTTTAAGTACCGTTACCCAGAGACTATATTTTCAAATACCTAAATAGTTTGAAATCTTATGTCATTCGAGAAGTATTCTGTGGTGATACAAATTTCTTTTTTTCAATTAAGACCCTATTTTTGGTTTCTAACTTTTGATGTATGATGCATTCAAATCGAACACCAAACTATTAGTTTTTGAGTTATTAAACTTTACGTCTTAAAGTACAGTGGCGGTTAATTATCCATAGATTTAAATTATTGATGGATGATCTAGATACTATAACCGTTTAAAAATTATAGTAATTTTAACATAAATATATTATAATTTTGTAATTTATGAAAATTGTTCGAGTTTTATAGATAAGTACAAGACAACATAATATTACATTTATTTTATGTGAAACCATTATTAAGAAGTATTATCCATAACTTAAAGTTTAATAACTCAGAAACTACCCTTTATAATTTATATTTAGAGGCATCAAAATAAAAATAATGTAAAAAGGGAGGTATGTATATGGAATAAATTTGGATCATCACAGGCCACTTCGTATATGATGTAATAAAAATGCTGTGATTAAGTTGACTTCAAATCTAAAAAAATTCGCAAAATCAAAATAATTTGAATAAACGCATTATTGTACAATGACAAAATGGGGTGAGCATGGTTGGGAAACCATCCTGTATATTATATAATATTTATCCAGTATGTAGATTAATGGGGAAGCATTATTATGTGTTAGCACTTTAGAGCACATTATGGGCGCATGGGAGATTCGACGTGCCTTCAACCGCAATACTTACTCTATAACGCATATTATTTTTTAAATTTATATCGTTTGTCAGCACAAAATATACTCAAATGATTTTATTTCAAAAAGTTTAAGTTCCATAACGAGGTACACAGCTCACGTGGACAGACTGGTCAAAAATATTATACCGCTCAATCGGCGTAGGTATATGATGAACGGTCCCATCTAATTTTCTCATCACATGCATTACGCCTGCAACGATCAGCCATATTATACGATATTACGTTTTTATAAAAACGGCCAAAACGAAATTGAAGTAGCCCCGTCGGGCTAATACGTCATTTTTTCACTATATTTACATTGTAATATTATTATATTATGTATAGAGCCGGACGGACAAAACGTTATAAAAATACGAAATATAAAAATAAATAACGTAGGTAGGTTATATGCGACCCACACCTAAACACACATAGCAGTAGAAAGTCTATAGGTACCTAGTATAATAATATACGGAAATCTATTGAATTTGCTTTGCCCTGAAATCAGTTTAATACAGCCCATATACGACACAATTAAACAGCATATATTGCAACATTGTATAGACTTGGATTTAATCACGTTTGGTTAGAAATATTAATAATGTTCCTTTATAATGCGTTTGACTATATCATTGTATTGCCAGTTCAATATTAATAATACCTTTTAACTAGGTAACATTTTTCGATTTATTCGTGTAAATATTTATTTAATTAATTTTACTTGTATAAATTCTATATTTTTCCATTGTCTGCAGAAATTATGACATTTTCTGTACAATATTTTTTGTATTTTTTTTTATTAGCTCATAAAGAAAACGAGTTTTTTATGAATGAAAAGAAAAATCCGATTGGAGGACGCCTTTTACTCGGAAAGGTACGTGGTCTAATAATATAAGATTGGATTTCAAAAGCAGTTCATTAATAACATTGTTATATAAGTATATAATGTCAATTGGATCATTAAAATGTAACAAAATATGTTAATGTATAAAATATTTAATTTAAACTAATAATGATTAACACAGACGTCATGTGGATGTCCAGCCTCCATTTTTTATTTCCTAATTGTTTCCTACACATAGCCGAAGCTATCAGCAACTTTTCGCAAATCATTTTGGGACACACTTAAACTTTTAAACGTCATTGGAGACACTGATCCTCCCCACATAATATTTCTGGTTTTCAGCCATTTTATATTTTAAGTCTTAGATAATTTATAAGACGCTTGGTGAGGTGCGGTCGCACGCTCAATCTGCGGCAACGCTCTGAGTGTAAGTACCGTCCGTTGTTGATAGCACTGAGATGGGTGACCACCCCTGTTTTGTAGCAACACATCTTTGCTGCACATACAAATAAGTGTTTCAAATCAACTGTTTTCCCTTACAAACAGGTAATGGCCATAGTTTTAGGCCGAGCTTTAGATCGATAAAAAAAAAAATTATATAAATATGATAATCATTTCCGGGAGCCAGATTTCCAAATGTATGCAGGTGTTATATGATAACTCAGTATATATCTGAACTTGAATCTGATACATATGAATTAATAAATAGAATATTGTATACAGCTTACAATATAATATAAAAAAATCAAATTTTAATATAATTAGTGTAAATCTAAAACAACTGCAAGAGTGGTAAACATTTCAAATTCATGCAACTATTTATAAAATCAAAATAATATTGTTTTAGATTTGATGGTAAGTTGAACAAGACATACTTCACATGTGTGAAACGGTACTATTCACACGTTGTATAGTAATGATATTATCTTTGTTTTAGGAAATTAAAATTTTTTTTAAATTTCATTTAAATGTTGACATAGTTTTGATGATTATTTTTGCCAATTCAGTATCCATAAATCCATAATTGAAACATTAAATTGTTGATGTAGGTATCACCCTTAGCATTTTAATACCTGAACTATTGGGAGCAGTCCAATATGTGATCTACAGTAAAAAAGATATTTACATAACTTTTTTTTCCAAATTAAATATTACTTCGCAAATAATTATTACTTTTTAACCATAATAGATTAGTGTGAATATAAATAATAAATTACAAACATATCATGTATATGAGTATAAAGCACAAATTTATTACATTTTGAAACCTATATGAAGATACAATAGAGAAACAATTACATATTTCTATGATAAATTAAGAACACTGAAAGTGGAAGGTATTGCCAGCAATAACTATGGTCTATGAGTCATATCTATACTCCATTTGAAAGTCAGAAATTATAAGATTATTACCGTGATTGAAGGAGCTAATGACTGATTACATTCTGCAATTAAAGACGAAAAAGGAGGGAAAAGGTTAAATTGAATGTGATAAATTCAGATTGAATCAGAAGTTCTGGAAGAAAATAGGGGTAACCTGTCCAATGTTTCCGATGGTAAAATAGAACCACGTGCGAAAACAACTAATAAGGGTTCTTAAGAATGGTTATCATCGGTCGTGAATATATTGACTATAAATAGGGAACCGATTTATATGTAAATGCATATTTTTATTAAAACAAGATATTTAAGAATCGATAAGAAATGTTCATGATTTAAATCATTTCTATTAAAATGATGCTACTTTTATTTTACATACTTTTACATATTTTGGTATAATTACATATTTTTACATATTTCAGTAATTTGTAAATATTTTTAAACATATTTTATCATTTCATCGTTCATACGTTTTCAAGCCATTACAAACAGCCATTATGAACTGTGACGATCCACGTGGAGCAAATATTTAGTAGTTTTTTATAGTCGTTACCTCATAATTTTCATATGGATATAATAAATATCTTAATATAGTATAGATTTATATACTATTGAAAATCGATAGCAGACAGGTTGACAGGCGATAGCAGTAGATTTTTATAGTTAGTGTTTGGCTGTAATCGTAATCGTACGTACCAACACAAATTTCAAAAATGCCAAAAATTAGTAAAACTATTCCGTCCAAAGTTTGACAGTACGTTAATAAATTTCCAAACGAGACATTTAAAAGCGATGGTCAAGTTCTTTTGTGTGTCGCATGTGAAAAACCAGTATCAACAGCTCAGTGGTCTTTAGTTACATAACGCATTGCAACACGAAAACATAAAGAAAGCAAACAACATAAAGAAAAATTTTAACAAAGCTTTTACTCGTCAATACCAGCTATATCTAGTAATAGTAAGTCCGTTTTTTATACTGACCTTTGTCTTGCACTAATTCGTTCAGATATACCATTATTTAAATTACAAAATCCTGATTTAAAATGTTTTTGGAAAAATATACCGGTCAAAATATTCCAGATGAAAGCACATTGCGAAAAAAACTATATTCGAGATATTTATCTTGAAAAACTTTCTTCAATTCGAGGTGAGATTCGAGATGTGCCCTTTTGGGTGTCCATCGATGAAACGACAGACTTAGAGGGGAGGTACATTGGGAATGTAGTTATAGGCAAATTATGCGATGAGCCTACTAATTCAATACTACTTAACTGTGAAAAACTTGAAAAATCTAATCATCAGACCATAGCAAAACTGTTTAATGACTCTATGAGTTGACTTTGGCCAAGTGGAGTAAAACACGAAAATGTACTTTTGTTCGTTAGTGATGCAGCACCTTATATAGTGAAGGCAGAAAAAGCATTAAATATTTTTTATCCTAAACTAATACATCTTACATGTTTAGCGCATGGTTTTCATCGTGTGGCAGAGATAATCAGAGCAGAATACCCTATCGTCGATTCTCTCATAGCTAATGTAAAAAATTTTTTTTGAAAGCTCCTAGTCGTACCACAATTTTTAAAGAATTATACCCTCATCTTTCTCTACCACCCGAGCCCATAATTACCAGGTGGGGCACATGGTTGCTAGCTGCTCAATATTATTGTGAAAACTTTTCGAAAATACAAGAAATTATTTCAAAATTAGATCCAGAAACTTCTATCGCTATTGAAAAAGCCCAAAATATTATGCAAAATGAAACATTAAACATTTTTTTAATTTTCATCTCAGTGAATTTTAGTTTTATTGCACATACAATTACAAAATTAGAAACAAAAAATATGTCCTTAAATGATAGTATGCAAATTGTTGAATCAGTGATTGAAAAATTAAAACTCGTAAGTGGAGCAATAGGAGATGAGATGTTGTAAAAAAGAAAATTCATGCAGTTACAGAAAAAAATCCAGGCTATATTGATTGTAAAACAATCAATGAAATAATGAGTGGCAGACACACTTCTAAAATTTGGAATTATCGCCTTCTGATATTATGCGCTTCAAATATGCTCCAATTACATCGGTTGATGTGGAACAATCATTTAAACGTTTTAAAAATATTTTGAGACCTAATAGGCGACACTTAACATTCGAAAATTTAAAAGAAATTGTGATAATTCAATGCAACAAATCATTTTAATAATTTAATAATTTTAATAATTTCAATAATTTTAATTTTAATTGTATTTTTTTTTAAATTAAATTAAATTAATTTTTTTCCCACATATTTGGATGTTTTTACTTTTTAGCACATATTTTATAAATTATACTTCCATATATATGTACATATTTTTGTATTTTTATTACATATAAATACGTTCCCTAACTAGTAATACATGAGCTTGGAGTATAACACAATAGATGTGTGGCCTGCAAGGAAGTTTGGAGCAATTGTTACTGGTTTTAATAACGTAAGACCTTCAGGAGCAGAAGTTAGTGCGTTTTGGAGATCCAAATAAGAATCATTGAGAGAAACTGAATCACAAGAAGTATATAAAATTAGTGATGTAAGTCTGTGGACACACTTTCAGATGAAGTAACTATAGAAGGCTATAGGATGGGATAGGATTGAAGAGACAAAATTCACGTACCTACAGAATTGTCGTTATCTTATGGTTATTTTCATATTAAATCAAAAGTACACAAATTCACTATAAAAAAAGTAAATTAAAAAAACATTGGATATTTAAGAGTTGAGAGTTTAGACACTGAAATAAGAACTACAAAAGTATAATTATATTATTTTTTTAAATTAAAATTAATAATTGTGTATTGTGTACATTTGATTAACTTTCACTTAATATATTATGATTTTTATTTGTTTGGTAAGAATTCTTATAGTATATATTATATATATATATGTGTGCGTACTTCCTATATCACCCTCTTTGTACCACCACAATTTATTTACGAGTAGACGATTTTACATATTGGACTGCTGTAGTCAATAATTATGGTTCCGTTTCGATATCATTGTTTTTGTTTTACATTATAACAAAACGACGAGATTATAAAATTTAATATTTTACCGTTCAGTTTGTTATTGTGTACGAGCAAGAGGAAAGTTGCTAAAAATTGCTGTAATATTCTTGTCGATTTTAACGCGTTTGTGTTTCGCACGTATTTTAAATATTACACACTATGTAGATACTAGATAATCATAATTACTTTTAGCGATAATATTCTGCATTCATTATTTGACCACGGTACATTGTTGCATACGGCTATTGTTTCAGATATACATCGTACAGTCTGACGCAACGCGAGGGCACCTAAAAACAACGAAAAAATCAAATTCCAGCTCCGATGACGTCATTTTTGTAGTTGCAGTTTCAGTTGCAGCAGTTTTACACGAATACATGATAATAGTAATAATAATATTAAGTTAGCCAAAAAATAACAAAAAAAGGAAAAAAAAAAAAAACGTTTTTGTACGTTTAAATTTTGTTGTACATTAAGTTTTGTTATAATACTGATAACGATTATTTCAATGATGCCCAGTAACAGAGTAATTTACTACGCAATAATAATAATGATAATTCACAGACACCGTAATATTGTATTATTATTATTATTATTATTATTATTATATATATAAAAACAAAATGTATTTGTATAATTATTATTATTAATTAATTGTCTTAACGAGTATAATATTACATTTATACATATATATTATAGTGACTATGATTATAATGTATATTATTATTATACACGTTGAATTATTATTACAGTGGATAATATTATCGAGTATCTACTATTATGATTATTATTGATTACGAAAAATGCCATTTATTAACCATAATATTTTGTAAGTGTTTATATGAATGTTTTTTTTTTTATTTATTTATAGTTCTACTGCGTTGTTATTTGAGTTTAAATGCAGAAATATATATTATATGTATATTTATATATATATATATATATTTAGATAGGGTCATGCGTAGAGTGCCTTAAACATAATATTTATATATTCCGTAGCCTATCGTACTTACATTTTAGTCGTATAACTCATCGTTTTGCTCTTTTTGAAAGGTCAGATTTAAAGTTATGAGTGTTTGTATGCCTATACGTGTTGTTTCGTTTGAACAATTTTATGTGTATGGAAAAACTGCCAAAATTTGTGTAACGGAAAATAATCGATATATTTTATGTTAATGTTATAGTTAAGAATATCAACAACAATCTTCAACATTTTGTTACACGGATAATTTGTATGCACCTAAACCGGGTTAAATGTATTCTCTGTGAATTGTTATTGTTATTAAAATTATTCTTATGACATTTACTAATGGTTCAACAAATAAGATTCATGAAGATGTTTAATATTAATGTTATTTTATTAAGCTGATAAAAGTTAAACAATTTTCTACTTTTTTAATATTGTCGAATGGTAAAACAAAAATTTTACTCAATATTCTCAACAACTGAATCTCTAACCATTAATTTTAATATGATCCAAATGATCAGTCTAGAAGAATTGATTCAACCTTTTGTACATTGAACTGCGGAGGCGTTTATTGATTAGCATTGTTCAACTCTTATCGCTCAATGAACCGAAATTTGCCTAGCGAAATTAAAATATTCATATTAAAAACCAAAAATCTTTGTCCTACTCAAATAAGTATATCGGTCAAATATTTCATGCCCACGATAATAATTATTTATACGTCTAACTGAAAGCTTCAAGTGAATGAAAATTCAGAAATCATGTAAGCGCAACCATTATCCAGATGTTGCAACTTGCAAATATTGTGAATTTAGAGTTTTATGTTAATCAGCTGCGATCGAATTAACGGGGGAACCAAAATTAGCATTATACGTAGTCTTGTTAACTGCAGGTGCAGAAAATCAACCGAAATTTAAAAATTAGAACATTATTGCTCAATGGCTTTAATTTCGTTTGTTTTCCTAAATTTTAAGAAATAATTATATCATGTCGAAGGATATTAATTAGAAGTTATAAATTATCAACTGTTATTCGAACGAAAATCGTAGATTCTACGGATTGAATAATGTTAACGTTTAGATTTAAAGTGTAATGCCATGAAGTTAAATATCTATATTAAGTGAAACTATAGTTTGATAGAACTATAGTATAATATATAACATTGTTTTAAATATATAGAAGTCGCGTGACTAACACTCGTGTTGTTCTTGCTCGTGTGCTTAATATTATGAAATAGATAAATACATAAAACGAAATATTCGAAAACATGTACGTTAATAATATTATAAATGTAATGCGTGTGTAGGCAAAGTCGAATTGAAAAATATTAAATATACCCGTGTTATTTTTTTTTCTGCGAGGGGGGTGGGTTACAATAGACTGTGATGTATTATAATAATAACGTTATTAGAATAATATCTGTTTATGACTGTTTGCAACAATAAATGCATATAGAAGGAACTTAATGAATATAAAAAAAATCTAAATACATTATATAGACACATAATACATAAATAACAAAATAAAAATATATAATATATTGTGTAATTTTGTATATTTATTTCGACCCTAGCAAATGGTTATTCTCCGTTTCGGTACTGTTGAAGAAGATAATTTTACGGCAAAGAACAGAACGTGGTGTCATCTTTATTCAACGAAGAAATACCAACAGAACGCTTAGGTAGGTACTAGTTTTTGCACATGAACATAACTGTACCAAAAAAAAAAAAATAATACTTATACTATCTATCTATTTAGTACTTATTATGATGTCTTCTGAGGTCTAACTGCAGCGAATAGTCAATAAAATAAATTATGCATGATATTATCATGTTTATTTTTCATGAAGTACACAATGCTATAGTTGTACATTAAATATTATACTGAACAACACTACATTTTTTTTCGAGTTCGCGGGAAAAAAAGCAATACACTTTATTTAAATTATTATACTCTTTACACTTATATTCACTTCTCTACACAACTGCATGCCAAAAACTTGCACTTATTTATAATGTTTATACGTTCGTTGTGTTTATATTTCCTATGCAATTAAAAACTGTAAAAGTGATTAGGTATATGTTATGCGTTTCGTCCCGCAAACCGTTATAACGATTCGATATAGCCCTCGAGTGAAATAGTTCAGGAAACTACAAACCTCGCCGCCTGTACGATTGTAGCAAGGAATCCTATGTGCAAAAGATTAAATATTTTATGTGTGTCTATAATTCGTGATAATCATTTTAGGAATAATTCATAACAACTCGCTGGAATGATAAGTTATGCGAAAGAGTCACTATGACGCTGTGGTAATATTTTTTACTGATATAAATGCTATAACTTTATGCTGCAGCCAATTTAAATAACAATGCTAATAAATAGTAGGTAATGGACACTATTAAAGTCAATGTTTTTTCAACGTAATTCATTTTAAATAGGACTTCTAGGCTCGGTTGTAATAACGATCACGAATAACAATTTATTGTTGATACTCCCCATCAGTTAAATAACAATATCTGTACTTTATTCTACCATTGGGTAACATCTGTTGGCTAGGACAATGCGTAACACACTCGTTGAAATTATACTCGAGAGCAACACAGTACGTGCAGTACGGCATAATCTGCATTATGGTGACGGGTAGTGTGCACAAATAATATTGCTGCAAATACAAACATGTTAAAAATGGTCATTATGATATTTTTCTTGGAATAATCCTAAAGCAACTATTCAAATATCGATGTTTAATGTTCGATAATTAATATTATTACAAATGTTCGTGGTTGAAATTGCAACAATTAGTTTAAGTTATTAATAAAAACCAAATCGTTTTCATTACCTATTTATTCATAACATTCAAGACAAATGTAACAAAAATAAGTCGGACTCTATATTATAATATTACTTATCTATATTACGGTTGTCAGTTACAATAGACAAGATTATGTCATAACACGTTATAATGACAAAGGGTCGCTATAATAATAGCTTGTTTATGAATTTATTATAGTACCTTCCGAGTAAAGTAAATATTTTCGGAATGGATTTGGTGATATTTCCATACAATAATTATTCGTTTGGATTTCCAATGACCATCACTATTGAGAATACAAATTGCTCACGATGTGCTTCTGGTAAGATCCTGATGCTAATTCAAAAATATACATTTGTATTTTGTGATTGAACCATACACTAATATTATGAATATTAGTTGTATAATCTGACTTCACATGTACATAAGCTACAAGCCTACAAACATACATTTTATTTAATACATAGGTAACGCTACAATTCGATGCTTATAACTCGAGTCATTGGCTACCATTTATAAACGGAAAAAGAATGTTCAATTTCTATGTTAAATCTCAAAATATTTGTATGAGTGTACCTCTACAAAATGTGAATTTCGGTGAATCCTTTCTAGTGCACCTTCACATGATCGTGCGATTGTACCATGTCAAATACTACAAAACTGTGAGAGTTCGATTTGACATATTTCAATTTATAAAACGGATAACGATTGATTTAGAAGTTTAATAGTTTTTATTTGAGTTCTGTAGCGTCCCCAATTCGAATAGAATTGCAGATATTCGTCAACTAATATTTATATAAGTACTAGAATATTTCACTAGTCTTAAACAACTTGTAATAAAATACATTTTTTTTTTATTTATCTCTAAAAACGTATTCAAAGTACTATTCCACTTACGTCTTTTATTAATAATATGAAATTCAATACAAAACTCAGTAAATTCATGGCTGAAATGAGCTCTGTTCTAACTACCTAGTCATATCAATATGATCCTTGCACGATTTTACTGTATATGTTCCTTGTATTCAGCTTAAAACTATGTAGAAACAATTTATTGTTTAAGCCTCTACGAAATTTTTTTGATCAATCGAAATATAATACTGTAAGACGTGAAGTCCGAATCTTACCAATTTTCTGAAATATTATTACTTTTTTTTCATACACACTTTTACATTTTTAAAGTATAAAATCATTCCGCAAATTTTCTATAAATGCATAACTTTGTACGTAATAAACTTATAACTGTTAACCTAAACTTCATAACCAATCGACAATGTGATTATCACTTATCATTAATCACTGTTATAACTTTGAAGTTTAAATTCTTATAAAATAACTTTTTCCAACTTTATATTGACATTTTGTGATCAAAATAATAATAATATATACGAATCAAACAATAATTCGACTATGCCTACATATAGGAGCGTAAAACTTTTCATGACGAATTGCTGTGGTAAAAAATTTAAATGTTATACTTGAAATATTTCCATAAAATGTAATTACGGCGTTTTATGATGGTATAATATGTTAAATGTATGTAAATACGACGTTTAAAAAATATAAAAATGTATTTCTCCGAAAATGTCACCAAACCATAAACATTAATACAATACGTATTAACTGTAAAACTGTTAAGAAATTTGGCTTACGCAAATTGTGTATTACGAAAATATTACTTAAACTGAGTTTGGCTATTGCGTTCAAGCCTATTCAAATATTCCAAGAAAATAATAACACTTTAAATCTACCACCATGGAAACATTAACGAAGGATAAACGAATATTGTTATTTTTTTTCTAGAAACTTTTACAAAATAAACAATATGATTACA